ATCAAAAAAGTGCACAAAAAAGTTAAAGCATGAAAATTGTGTAAAACCTTAAAATTGAGGGACCGAAAATAACATTTAACCTTTAAAAAAATTAAAAATTTTGAATGTTTACTTTAAATTTTAATTTTTAAATAAAATGTAAAAATATTATTTATTTGATAAAATTATTCCATACACTCAAGCAACAGTTGCTGCTACAATCAATATATCTGTAGTTTTTAAGGATATCCTATTGCTAAGATTGCACTACTATAATGCCTTCTAGCCCACATTGCACTGCTACGGTCATGGGCAGTGATGAAGATTTTGGCTTTGCAAAGCCCAAAAGCTTGTTTCTAACATCAAAATGAATATTATGTACAACTTGCAAAACAGGTTGGAAATGTTGCCTATGGATTTTGTTATTTCTCTCCCTCCAAACATAATAAACTATAGCATTCCAGGCCAGTTTAACAGGGATACAGTACAAGGATTTCCTTCTAATTTGCTTCCCCACCCAAGCCAATAATCCTTGCCAAGAGTAGAATAAGGGAATTCCTGTCACAGCACAAATAATCTCCCATATTTGCTTGATAAAGTGACTCTGAAAAAATGGATGAGTGCTTGTTTCCACTCCTGCTTTACAGAACAGCCAAGTATCATCAATACTAGGAGTCCATTTCTTTTGCCTACTTCTTGTCGACAATCTATCAAAGAGTGCTAGCCAACAAATGAAACTATGCTTAGGGATTGCATAAGGAAACCATACTAATTTGTGCCATGGAACCGTCTCTTGCTTTGCTCATAGGGAGTGGCATGCACTACTTGTCTTAAACACTCCCAAGGTAGAAACAGTCCAAATAACTGAGTCCTTCTCCTCGCTCTTGGGATATAGAGCATCAAAAAGAGCCATCTGAATTTGTATAAGTTATGGGGAACGAGCAAGAAACTAGTTCCAAAAATTGCCATTTACAACTTTAAAAACTCTGGCAAATAAGTACAAACTCGAGTCAAGAACAATTTTATCTCCATATGTTGTAATTAATGGCCATTGCTAGTAATCATGCCATAAAAATATATCAATGCCATTACCAGGTACATGTTGTATTAAACCCCTAGCATAGCATCAGAGCTTGAGAATTTTCCTCCATCCCCAAGATGAGTAAGAAGGAATGTTAATGTACCAGAATTTTTAATTTAAACTATAAATAATACTCTCTTTTGTTAATTTAACCAATAATTAATACTTGCTTAAATGGTAACGTGGTAGTACTCCTTTTTCGAT